ACAATAGAAAGTCCTGGACAGAATGGAATAAAAATGTAGAACAAAACTCAAATTCCTAAAAAGACCAGACTTACTGGACTGTAGAGACTAGAGGAACGCCCAAGACTATCACCCTAAGATACCCTTTAAACTTGGACTGAAGCCACTCCCAGAACGTCTCCTTTCAGCCAAATAATAAATTGGCTTATAAAATAAACAATATCACCTGTTAGGAATGTGCTCCCTTAAACAATCAATTATACGTGACCAAATAGTCAACATTTACCCAAGAGCAAAGAGAAGGCAAGGAGGGGCAGGGAAGCTAGATAAACGGAAACAGAATGGAAATAATGAGAATGCTAACACATTGTGAAAATTGTAACTAATGTCATGGAACAATTTGTACAAAAATTGTTAAATGGGAACCTAATTTTCTGTGTAAACTTTCCCTAAAACATAGTAAAATTTAAAAAAAAAAAAGCTTGCCCTTTAGATAGGCATATGCAAAGGGAAAAAGCATGGCAGATGGTATGCAGTGTTCCCAGCATCCAGTTCTTGCTTACTCGTGGATAATCAGACTAGCTTGTTAACCTTCTAGGTTTCTGTATTTTACCTTTTCATCTCACACTGAGCTTATCAAAATTTGATGTGTCCTTTTTTACTTTGAGTGGGTACACTAAACAATGTTAATTTGTTCCCTTGAATTCCTGTTACCTACGTTTCTTCCCATCCCAGTTTTTAACTCAGATGAAGAGGATGTTTCAATTCTATTAATGAAATAAATGGAAAGGCATTTGCCTTGCCCTTCCTTTGCATTGACTCCTGGCCACTTTCCCCTCATATCCCTCTTGCCTCTGACACTCCAGTAGCATACCCCGCTTTTGTGCTTTCCCACACTTTTCTCTCTTCCATAATTTGTTGGGAGTGAAATAATGACTTAATTTTAGGAGTTTGATAGAATTGTGTTCCTAGTACTTAAGCTACTCACAAACTATCTCCTTTATTCCTCTTGATGTTCCGAATTGAACAAGGCTACAAATGGTATTGTAGTGCAGTGTGACATCTCATTGAATGTGCCTTCTGCAAGTAGAAGGGCAAGTAGAACTTTTGTGGAAGTGGATGGTATCCACTGATCTGTGGATCAAGTCCTCAGGATATGTCAAATTGCAGACCTATTTTAAGTTTCCAAAGTGAATCTCCACAGATGTGTCTGCTTTTAGATTTACTCTGTGAATATAGAAAGTCTTTCTTCTCTTTGCAATGAAATGATTCACTTTAGTTTAATTTGTTGTTGTTCTTTTAAGGTAATTTGCCCTTCATTAATCTAACCACTGTGTTAATACTGTATGTATTTATGTGGGAGACTCTTTCTTCTCTGAGCATCTTTTATTGTGTTATTTTTGTGGTGATAGTGGTGGTGGTGGTTGTAAAACAAGTAATTCATTTAAATGAGTCAAAAAAACATAAAAGTATATTTAGTCAGATTCTCCGTCCTGATTCTGCTTCCTTCCCCTAGCCCAAGCTACCCAGTTCCTGTCTCCACAGCCACTCACTAGTTATTAGTATTTTGCATTTTCTTCAAGATTTATTTTATGCACATAGGAATATATATTATTTTCCATTTTTAAACAGAATGGTGGCATACTATGTATGTATAGTGTTCTGCATCTTGCTTTTTTTTTTTTTTTTAGCTCAACAATACATCTTGGAGAACTTTACATATAAATATATAAAGAGATTTGTCATACAATAGCTGCAGAATATTCTAGCATATTGATGCACCATGATTTATTTAAGCACTTTCCCATAGATAGAGATTTAGGATTCCTGATGGTTCTTGAGATGTAGGTTCTGGATAAGAATGAGTAAGTACAATCCATATTGACTTGATACAGCTTAGGATCAGAGTTTTAGAGTGGTCTTATCTTTTTTTTTTTCATTGTTGTACTTTAAGTGAAAGTTTACAATTCAAGTTAGTCTCTCATACAAAATTTTATACATACATTGTTATTTGACCCTAGTTGCTTTTCCCTATACTATGACAGCACACTCTTCTTTTCCACCTGGGATTTCCCGTGTCCATTCAAACAGCTCCTGACCCTGTCTGCCTGCTCATCTTGCCTCTGGACAGGAGCTGCCCATAGAATGATCTTATCTTTTTCATAAGAGATTTTTCTGTAAAATGTCCTATACAGACTATCACAGTGACCCGCACTGAAACACCCAACTTTTCATTACACTGCTGGCAACCCTAGAATAATGAAGGAGTCTTGTGTTCCATTTTTAATGGATTATTTTAGAGACCCAGCTACTGGATCTCTAACCTTGGAAAATAATGAGATATGTTTTAATATATTTTTCTGTAATTCATAAAAAGATTTTAAAAAAAGATATTTCTTATCTAGATTCATAAAGGAGCCTTGGTGGCACAGTGGTTAAGTATTCAGCTGCTAACTGAAAGGTTGGTGGTTCGACCCCACCAGCCACTGCATGGGAGAAAGATGTGGCAGTCTGCTTCTGTAACAATTACAGCCTTGGAAACCCTGTGGGGCAATTCTACTGTCCTATAGGGTCTCTATGAGTTGGAATTGACTTGATGGCACACAACAACAGATTCATAAGGTTGATAAAGGGAAATAAAGAATTGGTACTCATAATTCAGAATGGGGTTTGAGAAGTTTTGAGTCAGGAAAATTTTCCTGGATGATAACCTACTTTTCTGTCAGTGTATATTTAAGAGATTGTTTAATGGACTAGATTTGGGGTAGAAGGAAGGCAGGACTATAACTTTCTTGAGAACAAAGTAACTGAAATGCAGTAGTCATAAATATTGTTTAATTGACTGGAAAACATTATAAAAGAATTTTAAAGTGTGATAAAGACAGGTCTAGCAATATATTAGTGTTGTATACATTGTTATAGAAATGTACATATCAAGGAATGAAATGTAATGCTCTGTTTGAACATTGGAAGATTAAAGTCATACTTTTGGAAGGAATAAGCTATGAAGTTCACTTTATGCTTCCTTTTTAAAGTATCACTTTTAATGACCTTGATAATCTTATTTGTACCTAAACATAAATCTGGAAATACAAATGTATCTAGTAATTGAATTTATCCTGTTAGTAAAATCATGGACTAGCTAGGAAACAAACAGTATTTTTGTGAGTCTGAAGATGAGAAAATGGCCTTGTGTAATGGAGACAACAGCTTGGATGATCCTCTTACTTGGGTCCCCTAGAAAATTGTGGACCCTTCAGGACAGAAAAAGTTACTTTCACATGTGAAGCTGTTTGGAGAGTTTCTTTACCTTTTGTCTGTTTTGAATATGTTCTTTCTTATTTATTTGATGGTTTCTTTGGCAATTGGTGAAATATTGGTTGAGTCATACAATATTAGACAAATGATTTCTAATCATTCAACTTTGTTGGAAAGTCTCTATAAACCTGTTTGCATTCCTTTAACTTATATTGATAACCCTAATAATTGCTTTCTTTGAAAACAAATCAAATTTCCAAGTGACCACAGGTAATGATAATATATAAGAATTTGGTGTCAGAGTGTTCAGAGTGCCTTATGCATGTTGATATATTGGTTTAACACTAAATTAGAAAACTACATTTATCAAATAACTTACTCTGTTTTTACAATATCTACTTCATGATGAGAAGAGGCAGTGAGCCAGTGGAGCTAACATCAGGTGTTATGTGTTTGACTGTTGGTATTTAGCTTCATGAACTTATGATTTTTGGGGGAAATAATTCACAGTTCATCAGATGTTGTGTGATAATCTGTATGTGTAATAATTGGTGTTCTACTGTGTTATTGTAATCTTGGTTTTCAGGGGGGAAGCCAAAGCACAGCAAGATTAAGTAGCCAGAGTCAGTGAGTCACGATCTATTAATAGAAATCTTACCTTCTGATTCTTGATTCAGTGTATTTCCTCCATATTTTTTAAGAACTATTGATGCAGTGTAGAATTTTCTTCTTTTAACTAGTTGGCTGGATTCCAAATTTATTCTCTCAGTAATTATAGTTCCTTGAAACTTCTGCTAAGATTTCATCTTTTTCAAACTCCCTCAACTGTTACGCTGGTTTAAATCAAGGCATTATTGTGATTATGAAACAGGATGTGATAGTTAGGCAGATGCCCACTGAAAAACATTTCTACACAAACGACTCTTGTGTGACACGGCAAAAGTCTGTAGACCACAAACTGAGTTGAAAATAAATGAGTTCAAACTGGTACGTTAACGAGTTCATTGCTCAGGATTGGTGTTATAGAGGTTTGCTAGTTTCTTTTAACTGTAACGTTTAATTAACTTTCTGTAGTTGAGTGTTGACCTTTGCTTGGTGTTGGGTGAAGTACGTCATGGTGGGCTCAGCACGTGCCCTTTGGTCCCCACCCCAAGCTCTGCCACATTTCCTTAATGTGAAAGCTAGTCTTATAAAAGTTGTTCCTCTTCCAGTATATCTGGCTTAGATACCAATTTTTTATAGATTCCTTTCTCCTCCTCCCATTTTCAGTTGGAAGTATATCTTTCTTTTCTACTTTTCTGAACTTCCAGTTCATTTGTACTCCCTGGAACTTTCGCTGTTTCATATTTGTGCCAGTCGTAAGACTATAGATGGATGTATGCATATAGATAGATAGACAGACAGACAGACAGATATAAACCCAAACCCTTTGCCATCGAGTCAATTTCTACTCGAAAGTAGAACTCTGCTCCGTAGGGTTTTCAATAGCTGTGATCTTACTGAAGTAGATCACCAGGCCTTTCTTCTGCAGTGCCTGCTGGGTGACCACCAACCTTTTGGTTAGTAGCCAAGTGCAAACCATTTGCACCACCCAGAGAACATGTCATAAGACTATGGACTCCTTTAAAGTAGCATCTTCCATACTACTATTGTCCTTTTTGATTTTGTTTTTAACATGCAGACAGGCAGGTGCCAAGTAGTTCTTTTTTTCTTTTTCCTGTTTCTTTTTGGTGTACCTGTTATCTTAACTGTTTCCAATGCAGGTTTGCAGACTCCTGTTCCAGAGTTCATTGTTGATGTAGAGTCTATGGATATCTTCCCTGTGGGCTGGTGTGAAGCAAATTCTTATCCCTTGACTACACCACACAAAACAGTTTGTAAGTACTGGCTAGTTGGGGCAGAGTGGGGGGTTACATCTGGGATCTTGGTGGATAAGTAGGCAGTTCTGTGAAGAAAAATATAGCAAAGTTGTTAAAAAAAAAAAAAAGTATGTTGAATTTTCAGGGAACAGCACCACAGTTTTTGTTATCTCATTTGTCTTTAAATGTCTGCATGATACGAAGATGTGAAAGCATTTTACAAGTTGACAAGCCAAGGCATAGTGGTAAGACAACTGAAGGTGACAGATAGAGGTAGAGAGAAAATATCTGAAATCTTCACTCTCAGTTTCGTATACAATTCAGTAGTTGATTTGAAAGATTATATGTTCAATCCTATAGTTTTATATTACTGTTTCTGGGAAAGAACTAATTTTTCTTATGAGGTTTCCCCCAAAGGGATTGTAATTGGTCCCTGATAATTTACTGACATATTTATAAACACTTAACCTACTCTTGGTAGCAGCTAACAAGAAAGATTTCAACTGAACTTTAAAAAAGTACGTTATAGCATATCCTCTAATCACAAAGTACCAAATACAATATTAGTAATTAAAGAATCCAGCAATAAATACACATACATATGTTTACAATAATATTTAAAAGCAATATGTTTTAAAATATTATTGTGGGTCATTATCATGAGATAATACCATTTAAAAATCTTAGAACCTAATACATCTTGATATTATGATTCTACCCTAATGTGTATCACAAGTATTGTTTAAAATTGTGAGTACTTAAAGATAAGGGGCTTTAATTTTTTTTTTGTGAAATACATTGTATCCCTAGTATTTTCTTTATGTAATATATATATATATTTTATACAGGCTTTACTTTTTTCTTGGCATCCTACTGTATGGTACGATTATGTAAATTATCAGAACATTACTATAAAGAAAGTTCCATCTCATAGTTGGCTTCACATTCCCTTGTGTGTGTATATTTTGAAGGCACTTAAGAGTCTTCCTTTAAGAGTACTGTAGGCAATTATGTATGTGAAACAAAATAGATTATAGACAGAGGGGCATTTTAATACAATGTTCTTCTTTTCCTTATACCGCACTGCTCAGTGAGTCTGATCCAATTAGACTACTACCCTCACTTTAAAATATTTATAAAATTTTGAGCTTAGAATAATTCTCAGTGGCTTTAAAAAAAATTTTTTTTTTTCACTTAAGATAGTACAGATTCTTAACTTGTTCAGCCAGCATAGCCAACAGTCAGGTCCTCTGTGGGTTCTGTCACAGGTTGGGGGTCCAATCCCCTGTATCCTTGTCCCTTGGACACAGCTTAGTGTCCTGTATCCTCTTCCTTTTTCATGTAGTCACGTAGGTGTTAGTGGGAACATGGCCGTATTTCCTCTTGGTTATGCATTTTGCATCGAGATCCATTGTGTTTGACTCCTTACCAGGTTATCATACAATGCAGGCATCCCCACCCTTATTAACAAAGACTAATTTGGACAGGTTCTTCTATACTCGTTTTTAGCCTTAGACATCATAAAGTTTATACTTCTTTATAGTGACAACTGGAATCAAATACTAAATAAAGTCAAGAGTGAGGGACATTTTCTTAACTGTTTATCTTATTTATTCTTGTTTTCATTTCTTGTACATACATTTTGCTTTAAAGAGGCTTATTACCCTCCAGACTCTTAACAGCTTTAGAAGTTTTTTTTGGAATTAATTTATGCTTATGTTGGCAGGTGCATGATTATCTGTGCCAAAAGTCATAGATGCCAAAATCTCTGGTGTATTTTTGTTAAGGTGATCCTAATCTTACAAACTGAAAATTTTCTTACCCCAAAAAACCATTTCTTGCTGGTTTCTGTCCGTATTTGACAGGCATACTCGATAGACACCAATCCTCCTTTAATTAATAGCATGCTTTATTTTAAAAATATGCCTTTAATATTAATTTGGGAGTACTGTTACAGTAACATTATTTGACTTACTCAGTTTCTGTGGGAAAAAATCATGCTGGATAATCTTGCTTACAACAATTCATCTTACTATGTGTCTTTATAAAAAAGTACAATATTTGTGCCATCTTCTTTTTTATTAAAAGCACACTTTAAAATAAAGTATGCAGTGTAATGATAGATTAAATGTACCAAGTTCTATTTAGACCTCATTTCTGACAAAACAAAGTCTACCTTATGCTAAAAGAAATTGATATAAAATTGTGGCAGGAGCAAAACAACTTTTCAGTATTTAAATTACTTTAAAACTAACACTTTTTTTACACCAAGCCATTTTTATTTTTATTTTATTTATTGTTGTACTTTAAGTGAAAGTTTACAATTCAAGTTAGTCTCTCATGCAAAAATGTATACATACATTGTTATGTGACCCTAGTTGCTCTCCCTATATTGTGACAGCACACTCCTCCTTTCCACCCAGAATTTCCCATGTCCATTCAGCCATTTCCTGACCCTTTCTGCCTTCTCATCTTCCCTTCAGACAGGAGCTGCCCATTTAGCTTCATGTATCTGCTTGAGCTAAGAGGCACACTCTTCACGAGTGTCATTTTGTGTCCCATAGTCCAGTCTAATCTTTGTTACACCAAGCCATTTTTATAAATGCATTTGTCCAACTAGCTAACAAAGCTGTTTTTCTTTTTTCCCTCTTGGCCTGTTTTACAGCACAAAAGAAGAGAAAGATTGCAGTTGTGCAGCCAGAAAAACAGTAAGTTTTTTTCCCCCTCCCCCGAAAAAATCTACATGGAAAACTATTGTCTTGATAGAGGATGGCAAGCGTGGATGTTTTCATTAGAGCTAGCTAATGAAGAGCACACTAGTAAAGATGGCAGTGAAATATATCTGTTATTTATTAAGTGCAAGATTCAGTGCCTGCTCCCCAGGAATTTATACTCCAGCTAGTACTTTCTTACCCGTTTTTCCCTCCTCAGTATACCTGAAACGTATCCCAAACTTACACATTGATAGTAATGGCTCTCATAGTGATTCTTAATGTGCTTGAGGCCACACATTTGACAGATGTGGTTTGGACAAACTGCCCTGCCCCCCACCCAGCACGCTGTCTCTTACCATGCTCTGTGGCCAGGTCTGGGAGGTCGAAGACTTTAGTCCGATTCCCAACTCTGCCACTTCCCAGCTGGAGGAACATGAGCAAGTTGCTTTAAATACTGCGCACGTCAATACTCTCACCTGTAAAATGCCTGCTTCACAAAGTTTTTATGAAGATCAGACTCCAAGTGAAAAAATTTCCTCTAAATTGTTAAATGACTATAGGTTACCCTGCATTTAGATTGTAATTTTAGGAGGAAAGAGAACATTAGGGTAGAATGTCTACATGCAGGCAGTATGTTTTGGAAAAAGTTTTAATAATAGTTGTGTAATATTTTTATATATTGAAAACACTTAAAAGACACTGAAATAGACATTCCACACTAAATGATTCTATTTTCTTAAGTCTATAAAAATATACGGATGGAAAAGGAATTGAAAACAGCATTTTTCATGGTACCAAAGTTTAGATATAAATAAAATGTAATTCAATCATAATTGCATTTTATTGTAATGAGAATAATAGTTTTGTGGGGTTTTTTTTACATTCCTTTCTAACCACAGTGCATTAGGTTAGTAACCTGATTCTGTTTTATCTGGAGAACATTGAAGCAGAAAGATTAAATAATAGACCAGTCATTGAATCCAAATTTGAAATCATCACTCCTAGATACGCAGTTTATAAATCAGTGGTTCTAAGACTGTATGTGTATCGGTTGCCAGTGGGCTTCATAAAACACAAATTCGTAGGCCCCATTCTCAAAATTTCTGATTCAGTAGGACTGGGGTATGGCCCAATAATTTGCACTTCTAACAAGTTCTCAGGAGATGCTGATGCTGTTTGGGGACCACACTTTGAAAACCACTGCCATTGATGACCCCAGTAAGATATATTGTCGTGGTTTACTTTGAGCTCACATGGTTTTCAACTGTGTCATTTTTACGCAGCCAACATGAATTTTTCTCTGGAACCCATCGCTCCTCTTTTTCTCCTAAGTCTGCATTTAAAAAAATATTTATTCAAAATTTTTTTTCCCAGCAGTAGTACAGTACCCTCTCCCAGGGTAAGCCTAGTCATACTTTAAGAATCAACAGCTTATAGGTCTTCTTTTACGATACTCTTTTTTAGTATGGCCATGACTCATATGACGCACCATAAATAAATAAATAAATAAAACAAACCAGTTGCTGTCAATTCAATTCTGACTCATGGTGACCCCATGTGTGTCAGTGTAGAACTGTGCTCCTTAGAGTTTTTAGTGGCTGTGATCTTTTGGAAGTAGATAGCCAGGCCTTTTTTTCTGAGGTGCCTCTAGGTGGATTCAAACCACCAACTTTTTGGTTAGTAGCCAGGCTTTTAAGCATTTGTACCACCCAGAGACTACACAAAGCATAGATGCTAGAAATAAAAGTTAGTAGAAAGTGGTTTTCAGTTAGACATTGAAGATGAGAGATCTGACTTTAATTAAATAGAAGTTAATGTTTCTTCATGGCTAAAATATAAAGACATTATTATCATTGTATAACAAGAGACAGGCCCAGCATTGACTTGGGAAAACCTCATTGATCAGTCGTGACTACTCAAGGCAGATGTTCCATTAAGCTCCTTAGGATCATCAAAAGAATTTGAGAACAACTTTTCTGAAATGATCTTTTTGTTCGTTCTCACTGGTATTGCTCCTAGATGTACATATTCTATCATTATATTCTTAGATTTCTGTATGGACCACTTTTAATTATGAAAAGACTTTGGAATAGAAGTTTTTCCTAAAGTTTGCAATCCGTGATTGAATTTTATTTTCTTTATCCACAGATTGCCCTCCACAGTGCCTGTTGAGAAAATACCTCATGACCTTTGTTCATTCCCTCAGCCTGACACTACAGGTAAGTTAGTTCCATGTAGGGCCCTCTGCCCCTCCCAGGTCGTTGTTGTGATTGGAGATATGCTTATATTTTTTGGTGGATATGAGTATATCTCAACTTAGAGGTCTGTTCTGTTTTTCTCTGTTGCTACTTATTAATAGATACCTATCTTTTTTTCTTTTTAGATTCCTGAGTTAAGTTTTCTGTGCCTCTTCTGCCTCTTGGTCAGTAGCTAGACAGTGCTTATAATCTGCAGGAAAAAGGTCCATGTGCTACTGGGGAATTATTAAGCCAAGTTAGGGCCTGGTATCATGACTACCGTGTGGAAAAGGAAAGAATTGAAAATATCATTATAAAGCACTCTTTTTTTTTTAAACATTTTATGCCAATTTCACTGTCATTTTTGTAGTTTGGTTAATATTTAAGTCCCTGCTGGCTTTTCATTTGTTCCTTAAAACCTTCTGTGTTTGAAAAGCTGGTTTTGAACAATATATATTTTTACTGTATAAAGTCTTACATCTTATAAAATCTTTTTTTTATTGTACTTCAGGTAAAGGTTTACAGAACAAATAGTTTCTCATGAAACAGTACTACACATATTGTTTTATGATATTGGTTAACAACCTCACGACATGTCAACCCTCTCCCTTCTCGATTTTTTTTTTTTTTGGTGAAAATATACCTAGCCAAAGATACACCATTTCAAAAATTTCTACATGCACGGTTCAGTGACATTCTTCCAGTTGTGCTGCTGTTCTCACTTTAGATGTAGGTTTACAGAACAAAATAGTTTCTCTTTAAACAGTTAGTACACATATTGCCCTATGACAATGATTAACAACCCCACTACATGTCAACACTGTCCTTACTCAACCTTGGGTTCCCTATCACCAGCTCTCGTGTCCCCTTCTGCCTTCTAGTCCTTGTCCCTGGACTGCTGTGCCTCATTTGTCCCGTTTTGTTTTATGGGGCTGTCTAATCCCCAGCTGAATGGTGAACCTCAGAAGTGACTTCACCGCTGAGCTAAAAGAGTGTCTGGGGGCCATATTCTCGGGGTTTCTTCAGTGCCAGTAAATCTGGTCTTTTTTTTTGGTGAGTTAGAATTTTGTTCTACATCTTTTCCAGCTCTGTCCAGAACCCTCTGTTGTGATCCCGGTCAGAGCAGTGAGTGGTGGTAGCCGGGCACTATGTAGCTGTACTGGATTCAGTCTGGTGGAGGCCTTGGTAGCTGTGGTCCATTAGTCCTTTGGACTAATCTTTTCCTTGTATCCTGTTCTCTTCATTC